AATGGAACCCTGTCTCAGCAAAAACAAAACGAAACAAACAAAAATATCCATAAAAAACAAAAGATTAAAGGAAAATGGGGTCAAGAAGCTTCCTTCCTGAGGAAATAGCCGAGGCAGTGAGAGGTCATGTGGGGACAGGGCAAGGTGACAGAATTAGTAGGGGCTTTGTTAGGGTAGTCAGGAGAATGAATAGCATGGCACTCAGGTATCAGGAAAGACAGAGGAGAAGGCATATACTGGGTAGCTTCTTGTCAACCTGACACAGACTAAAGTCATCTAGGAAAGGGGAAAAATGCCCCAGCAAATTGGCCAGTAAACAAATCTCTGGTGCGTTTTTTTTCTGGATTAAGATTGATGTGAGAGGACCCACCTCACTGTGGGTGGTGCATGCTATCCCTGAACACATTAGGAGGTCCCCAGCCCACTGGGCTATGGCAGTTCTGAGTTTTAAAGCAAGTTGTTTAAAAAAAAAAAAAAAAAAAAAAAAAAAAAGCATGCTGGGCAAGCCATGGGGAGCAAGCTAGTAAGGAACATTCCTTTACAGTCTCTGCTTCAGCTTCTGCCTCCAGGCTCCAGCCTTGAGCTCCAGCCCTGGCTTCCCTTCATGATAGATAGGGTCTACACTGTAAGGTAAAATAAACCAGTTCCTCCACAAGTTAGTTTTGGTCAGCATTTTACCCCAGCAACAGAAAGCAAACTAGAACAGGAACTTGTATCCGCAATGTAATTGATGTGACAGACTTGTCCATGTTTTGGGAAGGATTATAGCAGTGAAACTTTGGGCTACAAGAGCGAGTGTGTATCTCTAAATGGGCTGTTTTGTAGGACCTTGAAAGATAAGAGTGCTGAGAGGAAAGCTAAAGATGAAGGCCTGGCTTGTTAGTTTCACAGGGAAGTTCGAAAGAACCTTAAACAGGTGAAATCAGCCTTATCTCCTGTGTGGCTGGTTTTTAACCTGACACAGGCTAAGGTCATCTGGGAAGAGGGAAACTCAGTTAACAAAATGCCTCCATTAGATGGCCTGTAGGGAAGTCTGTGGGAGCTTTTTGTTGATAAATGATAGACGGGGAAGCCCAATGTGCTTCCCCTGGCCAGGTGGTCCTGGAATGCATAAGAAAACAGGCTCATTCCTCATTCCTACCCCCTCCAGTTTTCTCCCTCAAATCCTCTCAGTGAGGGAGAGGGACTGCAGACTGTAAACTAAAACAAACCCCCTTTCTCTCCAAGTTGCTTTCAGTCACGGTGTTTTGTTTTTATCACACCAATAGGAAGCCCAAGCTGCTTTTGTTTAGTGTTTTCTATCAATGGAGAACAAGCTAGAACTGGGAAGGGTTGCAGAAATGTCTGCCCAGGGAAAGACGTCACAGCAAGCAGTTAATGTGGATGAGTTCCATATGTCTCTTGATTTTTAAGTGTCATTAAGAGCACACATTCTGTATGCCAGAAGGGCCAGGGGAGCAAAGCAAGCCTTCTGGGCTTGGCAAGCACTAACTGGGAAATCTAATGATCTGTCCAGTCAGCTGGGAGGAAGAGTCAGTAAAATCTCTAACTGTTAGAACTTAAGAAAGTCCAGTACCTGAGCCAAAGGCAGTAATAGGTCACCTCCCACAGCCCAGTGAAAGGAAGGGCAAGGAAGTCTCTACACACACACACACACACACACACACACACACAGCAATATATACGTACATATAGATAGATATATATGAACTAGGTCACAGACATTTTCTTAGCTTTTCATCCAAGCTGGAGGGGAGGGCAGGATTAGGCACCAAAATTTCGTTCGTTAGTTAGTTAGTTAGTTAGTTAGTTAGTTAGTTAGTTAGTTAGTCAGTCATTCGTTTATTTAGAGACAAGGTTTTTCTGTGTAATGGCCCTTACTATCCTGGAACTCATTTGTAGAGCAGGCTGGCCTTGAACTCACAGAGTTCCACCCGTCTCTGCTTCCTGAGTGCTGAAATCAAAGGCCACCACTGTCTAGCCAGCACCAGTGTTTTTAAGGTTTTCGAAGGACAATGGTCCATTAGGATATTCTGTGGGCCTTTGGGGTACTATAGAGGTGTAACACTCTCTCTTTGTACCCCCCAGCACCCTCTTGGTCCTCATGGCACCCTCCAACCTTCCCCATCTGCAGCCCACCTGTGCTCTAGGAATAGTGCTAGAACACCTTTGCAGGTCCACGGGGAAGGAAAGTCGGGTCAAAAGTGAAGTCTTGGCACCTTTAGAAGGTGTGGCGGTCTATTATAAAACCCAGTGAATGGAAGAACGTAGAGGCAACGCCACTCTAATATTAAGAAAGTCTCAGACATTGTCTTCACAGTTCTCACCTAGCTCAGAGAGAACTTAGGCACCAGTATTTTCTAGGTTCTCCGACCACTAACAGCCTTCAAGGTGTGACAGACTTGTGACTTTTTCTACCCTGACTACCCCAGAAGCACCATGCTACTGTCATTCCCCCATCCCCAGCCACATCGTCCTATCTCCCTCCACCCCACCCCAATTCCACTTTCTCTGTCCCCCAAGCACTATTTCAAAATCAAATGTTAAGGTAAGTGAAGGTTAGGTGGTTTCATTTGGTTTGGTTTGGAAGAAGGACTATAGAAGCAAACCTACACCCCCCCCCCCAACAAAAAGCAAAATCGGCCATGTTTTCTTTGTACTTCTAATCTAGCTGAGGGAGAATAAGTGTCAGTGTTTTCTGGGCCCTCCGATAAGTGTGAGCCTTTAGGATACTTTAGGATACCAATCTCTAGTCCTGTATTCCCCAGCTGGCCCCATCACACACAATGGACTCCCCACCCCCATCCACCGTCTGTGTTCTCCTAGTGCTGCACAGGAAGATAATGGTCTATGCTGTAGGTTTGGATGGAAAGTCAACCTCCCTGGTGAAGTCTTTGTGCTTTTATAAGATAAAAGCTAGTACCCGACTGACCCAGTGAAGAAAGAGTATAGGACCAACCCCCCTTCTCCAGAAAAGTAACTAATTTGCTTTGTACATCCATTCTAGCTGAAGGAGAATCTAAGAGTCAGTATTTTCTAGGCATTCCAGTTGTGACATTCTCTCTCCTCAAACTCCCAACCTCCCCTGTGTCCCACTCCAGATGACCATGAGCCCACCTTCTTGGCTCCCCAATTCCTACTGGGAAGTCTAAAGATCTGCACAGGTCTCTGAGAAAGAGAGTCATGCTCCACACTGAGGTCTGGCCACCTTTACAAAGTAAGGCTTTCCACTACCTAATCCAACACAAGGAAAAGCCGAGGAATAACTGACCAGCACAAAATAGTAACTAGAAAGTAGTCTGGTAGCACACTCTTTTAATGACAATACTCAGGGAGGCCAAAGGTGGAAGGCTGGATCTCTGTGAGTTTGGGGCCAGCCTACTCTACATAGCAGTTCCAGGTCAGGCGGGGCTACATACTGAGACTTCGTCTCAAGAAAATACTATGTTAAAAAAAAAAAGAAAGAAAATACTATGTAGAGCACAGATGTTTTTAGTGCTTCTAGGGTAGCTGCAGGAAAATCTATAGGCTGGTTGGTGTTTTCTAGCATCTTCCCTGGGGTGGGGGGTGGGGGCAGGGATGAGCCGGTAACCTGTTACAAGGGTGTAACAATCTCATCTTACATCACACTGCCCCCCTCCAGCACACCATCTCACCTTCCGGTCCCCCAGACCTGGGTGCCACCACACACCGCACCCGCGCACTCCCTTTCATTCCCCCCACCTTCAGTCCTCTCAAAGGATTGCTTGGAAATCTGAGGATCAGTGTAGATCGCCTGGAAGAATCGAGTCAAATTCTACTGGTCTTGCTGACTTTGTAAGGTAGGAGGTTCAATATTTGATTCACTAAAAGGAAGAACACAGGACAGCCCACTTGGAAATGTTAACTAGATGAAACCTTTCCTTGCTACCTGCAAGCGAGCTGAGAGAAAACCTAGTAGCAAGTGAATTCTAAGCCCTCTAATGAGGAAGCACCTTTAGGGCAGTGACTACCAAAGTGTGGTATTCTCTCATTCCCTACCTACCTCTCCACCCATGACCACCATTATCTTACCCCCTGCCCAACACAACCCTGCAGCTCCTGCCACCAGCCCTACCCATGATGGCGCTCATTTCAGCCTCGTGCCCACTGCCCACGAGACCCACCCCACCTTCTCTGCTCCTCGAGTACTGCTAGGAACACTGACATTCTGTGCCAGTTGGTTGATAAGTAGAGTAGAGCTCCACGGTGTGATCGTGTGGCCTTTGTAAAGTAGGGAGTTTCAGTATCTGACACCAAGAACGGAAGGGTGTAGAGGGCCTCCTCTGCCCGCCCCCCACGCCCAGCGTCAGCTAAATCTCAGATAGTCTCTTAGTGTTTCCCACCTCCCCCCCCCACACACACACCGCTGAGAGAGAACCCAGACAAGCGACCTTCTCTCAACCTACACCTCAAGCTCCCTGACTGCTCCCAGCCTATTTCCTGGCATCCGGGCCTCATCTTCCACGGTCCAGTACCCAGCCATGGTATCCTCCCAACACCGCTGCTGGCTGACCCCACCTATCCTCCTGTTCTATACAAGAAGTGCCAAAAAAAAAAAAAAAAAAAAAAAAAAAAATCTGTAAGGGTACGTTGGGAAGAGCAAGCTCCACAGTGGAGAGTTGGTGGAAGCTCTGGCACCTAACCCAGTAAAGGAACCTACCATCTCACCCCAATACTAACTAGATCACCGAGCTTTTCTTAATACCTCTCCCTAGCTGAAGGAAAACTTAGATGCCAGTGTTTCCTAGGACCTTGACGGAGGGCAGGCCTTTAGGATATCATGGAGGTGTGATATTCTTTGTTTCTACTCATTCCCAACCCATTGGGCTTTCTGACCCTGGGTCCCGGCCCTGAGTCCCAGCCCTCTTACCTGGGTCCCACCCAAGCCCCACCCTCCAACACATCACAAACACATTTGAGGGGCTATGATGAAGGCTTGAAGTGCTGGCCCAAATCCTCAGGCCTTCATTCATAGCAGCCACCTAGACTTGGGTATCAGCTCCTTCAACAGCCCCCCCCCCAATTCTGTTCCCAAACGCAGAAGCCTAATCCCACAACCATGTCTGAAGAGCAAATCCCCCAAACATCTGAAGCAGAATGCAGCGCAATGGTTTTCCCAGAATTTGAAGATGAGGAACGCTGGCTTTTCAAAGGTAATTTTCACTTCCTAAGGGACAGAAGTGACCGTTCTGGGCCTGAGTTTAAAGTTTCTTTCAAATTCCCAAGGGGCAAAGGGGAAACCATGTCCTATCTCCCCAGTCTTTTGTTTGTTTCTCATGCTACCTTTCCCCTGATTTATAAGTAATGTCATCCTAGGATCCTTAGTTTTGTCTAAAACTATGAAACTAAATCAGGAATTCCCTTTAACTGGAAGCCATCAGAATGATAAACAACACAAACTCTTACGAATGAACTAATCAACATTATATACTAAAACGTGGGGAACTACAGTTGGAGACTTTTGGAAAGGAGCGTCCTTACTTAGATTACAATGTCCCAATGTAAGCTGGTATTTACAGTCCCCTTCCTACTTTCTCCTAGAATGTGGGTCGTCTGGTAGTGCTCCACGATCAGGTAGTGCTTCCTGATCAAATTGAGGGACCCTATGAACTGAGACATTTAACATATACTTTGGTTTCACTTTTTCACCTTAATACAGTGAGTTGGAACTGGGTGGTAGTGGTGATGTCTAGCACTCAGGAGGCAGAAGCAGGCATGGATCTCCGAGTTCCAGGCCAGCCTGGTCTACAGAACAAGTTTCAAAACAGCCAGGGATACACAGAGAAACTGTATTGAAAACACAAAACCAAAACCAAATAAGCAAGACAGAAAGTAAACTAGATGTGATGGCACACTTTTAATCCCAGCACATGGAAAGCAGAGGCAGGCCAAACTCTGTGAGTCTGAGGCTAGCCTGATCTACAGAGAGAGCTACAGGACAGCTAGGGCTACACAGTGAGACTGATTCAAAACAAATAAATAAATAAATAAATAAATAAATAAATAAATAAATAAAGCAACTTAACATTCTGATGTAACAGCCTCACCTGCCACAAAATTTGCACACTCTTGCTTCTGTATCTCCTAGAAAACACAATGATAAATGTGGAGATATCATCAAAGTGCTTTGACTTTTAATATATTAAATAGAAGTTTTATTTGCATTTGGGTGTGTATATGTTTTAATCCTCATTTTGTCTCTCTCTCTCTCTCTCTCTCTCTCTCTCTCTCTCTCTCTCTCTCTTTCCCTTGTTTCTTTCATAGTGTTGGGAATCAAGCCAAGACCCTCCTCAGCACTGGGCAAGTATTTCACCTTGAAGTCCACCCCTAAGCATACCCTAATGTTTTTGGTTGTTTTGTTGTTGGAGTCATCATCATCATTTTGGTTTCTTTTATGTTTTGACAGTTTAAGCCTTTTTTAAAACAAACTGTCAAGCCTTCATAAGAATGAGCCAGCAGCTCAGATCCTTTCCTATTAGCTCTCACAAAAATGCTTCTCTGGGTGGAGCCCTTCAAATGAACTTAGGTACCTTTCTGCTCAGCATCGATCCTTTTCAGCTCATTTTCCTTTACCTGTTTCAAGAAACTAACTTGATTCTTAAAGTGAAAAACATGCTCAATGCACACATTAATTTAGGTGCAAAAGGGCTTTTGTAAGTTTACTCAAAAGAATAAATGAAAATAATATTTTTCTTGGTATATATAAATACAAATTTTTAAAGACTTCTTGTCTGTATTTTTGTTTTTATTTTATTTTTGTTATTTCATTTATGAAGGAAAACTTTTTAAAAATAATTTTCCTCCTGTTATATCTTTGGCAGTTTAAAGGGTCCAATAGTACTACAAGCCCCAGCCCCAAAATTGGTGACTGTTGCTACCTCTCCTTCAGCTATTCGATAAGCTGCTAATAAAATATCTGCTGTGTTTAGGTTTGGCAATATTATTCCACATTTTAGGGTCTCCTGCCCAGAGCAGTTCAAGCGCAAGAGGACTTCCAAGCCACTTTCTCCCCTTCCTGTTGCCCTTTGCTTTCTATCTGCATTTTCACGATTTAGTTTTCATTACAGATGATGGCACCAACAATAAGCAGGAGGACGAATCACTGGAGTAAGTTGTGCAACATTTTATTCACATTAACAATTGTCATCTTTGTGCTGGCAGCTGATTTCAACTCAAGTAAACAAGAAGTACGCCCCAGACTACCTTGTTATATGATTTGATGAACAGCACATAAATGTACACTTCCATGGGACATTCTAGATAAGCAGCTGGGAAATTACCACACTTTCTTTTTCCAAGAGAAGAGAGCCTTTGGTTTTATCACTGATTGAAACTGGTAACATGCTATGTCTTTTTTCAAAAGCGCTACTACAGTAATACTGAAAAGCTTTCTTTGGATTTTAATTTTTCATGGTGTTCTGAAGCCCTCAGTATGAACATAGTGGAGAGCAACTTCTCTTTTGTACGCAGTTTTCACTGGGGATCCTTCCAAGGCCAGGTGCATTCCAGTTGCTAAGGCTAGTGAATGAGGTACAGTGTCTCAGAGAACTGATAAGTGAATTCCCGGAAAATCAAGGAGAAAACATTTTAGATGCAGCTTAGTCTCACAGCCAATTTATTTAATGATGAGAGCAAAAGGTGGGAGTAGAAAAACAGCCAAACCTACTTGCAGAAACATGGACTGAACTGCTTAGAGAAGCACACATTCTCCACTGCACATGGCCTAGAGTCATCATCTCAACATAGTTCAAACATCAATGCCCACTGACAAGTCTATTTCATTAGGAATATTGGGAATCAAACTTAGGCTAGTAATTGTGATATGAACCCAAAACAAGAACAAACTGAGTAAAAACCCCAAACTGTTAAAGGTAACCTATAAAGAAAACCAAAGTGGACAGCAAAATACATATATCAAGTGAGCCAGTTAAAACCACAACAATATTTGGGCCAATTAAACTAGAACAAAGCACGGTCAAAACAGATACATCTCACTATTTCAGTTTCTTAGTCTATAAACTGAACAAGTTGATCTAGATGATAGTCTTCAGCCTCACTATTCTGTCCAATGCATTTTCTGAATTCATAGTTATTCAATCATTTGGTTTTAGCCCCAGATTGTACTTTAGTTTTACTGCTTGGGTTTCTGAGTTTAATGTAATCTGGTATTGAGGTAAAAAAAACTCTCCAGTGTGTTGACTATTGTGATACTTTTCTCTCTAGCCACACTGAGTCACTTATTCGCCTGCAAGATAGTCTTCAAGAGAACAAAATCAACAGTACCGATGATAGCAACACTTACCAAGCTGTAAGTGGGACAAGGAAGACAGAAACACACCAAGATGTAGGAACCTGAAAAAACAAAAAGCATCAAATGGCAAGGGGCGGGGGGTGGGGGGGGGTTTCGAGACAGGGTTTCTCTGTGTAGTTTTGGAGCTTGTCCTGAAACTCACTCTGTAGAACAGGCTGGCCTCGCACTCACTGAGATCTGCTTGCCTCTGCCTCCCGAGTGCCTGGCATTTGGGGGGGGGGGGTGGATTCTAAACATGCTAGAATAGATACGGTGTTAGGATAATGATGTCTACTGAAAACTGAACCATACTGTGAATATATTTAACTCATCAGTTAAATATGGTCAATAATTTTTTCTCCCATAACTCCTTCTGTTGGGATATGGACAAATAACTTCTTAGAGAGAATTCCCTTTTTCTTGTTCTTTTCCTGTCTGTTGGTGTATATATTTAGAAACAAGGAGAAAACAAATATGCCCATTGGATTTACCCTTTTGAAAACCAAGGCCACTAAAATATTCTAGAACTGACTCAGATCCCACCAGGGTATCTGATGATTTCATTAATATGAACAATCTACCATTATAAAAACACTCTACCCAAGGCCCATTTCCTCAAAAGTTATCAAGGTACCCACTTAATGATCTTGGTGTGGGGGAGGGACAGATGTCAGGTTATAAGGTACAAATATTTACTAAGCTTTGTCCTAACTTTTATTTTCATGCTTAAGACTATCAGCTATAGGGTTAACATTAAGTCAGGTCCCCCTTTGATGGCCAAAAGTTCTTTCTGCTTCATTTTGACTGTGTCTTTATCACTCCATAGCCATGTACTGAAGAAGATGATGAGACAAGCCACAGTGACAGCGATATTGACGATAACGTGAAAGTTATCATTGGCAACATAAAAACAAACCCCTCCATGTATATGTATGTAACCTTAACTGTCCTTGGGTTGTGGGACATCCAGGTGGGAAAAATATAATGGGAGTTGCCTCTCTATTAACTGTTCTTAACCTTATCCTTGGTACCAGCTGAAAAGAAATGTAGGAATTCGATGAGGTCTGTAATGACAACTGTTCCCCATACCAGTTGCAATATGCTGTGGCTGCCTTTATAGAGAACATTGTTTTCACTTCCTCCGTTTTATCTATTTTTTCTTACAGATGATTTTGATGCTAAATTGTTTAGGAGTTTGCTTTTGTGAGCATGTTTTTTTTTTTTTTTTTTTTTTTTTTTTTTTTGTAGGAAATCAGATAGTTCAATGGGTAAAAGAGCCCACAAATCTTTTTGTCCTAAAGCAGTGTCCTAGAGAACTTTAATGCTCTGTTCTCTTAGTACTTTTTTTTTTTTTTTTTTTTTTTTTGCAAAGTGCTAGTGGAGACGCACATTTGTTGCCCTGCTTTTTCCTTTGAAGTGGAGAAATAGCTAAATTAATACACACCTTTAATCCCAACACCTGAGAGGCAGTAGCAGGAGACTCTCTGTGGGTTCTAGGCCAGCCTGAGTTACATAATGGCTTGGTTTGCCTCAGCCTCCCTGAGCACTGGCTGGCCTTGAGCTCTAGTCAGCCTCCACCTCTCAAGTGCTGGAACTGCAGCTGTTTGTCACCACATTCAGATTTCTTCTGGCGAGCTTTTGTAGAGCCAAGTGGCTTTCAGGCCAGTTTGGGCTACATAGTTTGAGCCTGTCTCAAAGAAAGTAGGGGGAGAGAGCCTGTCTGCTTTTTGCAAGGGCTAATTGTTCAAACTGCCCACCCCCGGTCCTTTTCAGGAAGATAAGTGGTTTGTTTACTATTTGATAAAACAGTAGCTCTAAGGAAACCTCCAATTCTTTCTTTGGTCTTTTCTGTTATACATATCACTAAATTTTAAAAAATGTAATTTTCACAACCCCATTCCTTTTAGTAGGAAGACAACCTTTCTTAGTTCCAATATGAATGGGCCATATGTATTTTTTTGAGTATTTTTTAATTTAATTTATTATTTTACATGCCAATCCCAGTTCCCTCTTCCTCCCTCCCTCCCACCTTCCCTCCCTCCTTCCCTTTTACCCCCTCTGCCCCCTCACATGCACCCTGACCACCCTCCCCTCCCATCCCCCCCACCCCAATTCCATATGTAGGGGAATGCCTGGGTTAAGGCAGTTATCCCTCCATGGGGGATGTGTTCGCAAAGTCCTTTTGTGCACCAGGGATACATCCTGGCTCCACTGTCTGAGGTCCCTTAGACTGCTCAGTCCTTCTGGCTGAGATCCATATTCAGGGGGGCCTGAGTCAGTCCCATGCTGGCTTCCCAGCTATCAGTCTGGGGGCCCGTTAGCTTCTCCTTGTTCAGGTCTGCTGTCTCTATGTGTTTCTGTAACCTGGTCTTGTCCTCTCCCTCTACATCTGGATTCTAGTTTGACTCAGTGTTTAGGTATGGGTGTTTGCTCCTGTTTCCAACAGGCATTAGTTGAGGGCTCCATGGATAAGTTAGTTGTTGATCTCACTCTCCGGGAAGGGCATTTATGATAGCCTTTCCACAGAAGCTCAAATTGTTAGTTGGGAGCAGTCTTGTAGTTCTCTAGACCTTTCTTTGTGTTCAATTTTATCTTCAAACCAATATTGGCTCCCTCTTTTATGTTCTCTGTCTCTGTCTCTGTCTCTCTCTCTTCTGTCTTCTATTCCGACCCTGACTCAATCTTCCTAGTCACACATGTTTTTCTCTCCTCCCCCTCTCTTTCTCCTACTTCTCTCTCCATTCACTGTCCCCCCCCCCACTTCCCCTGTGCTGGGCCATATGTATTTTTATCTGTGTGCCTGAATGACTTTTGTGTCTCCAAATTGTTGGTGCCAGCCTATTGACAATCGATTACACTTTCTCTGTATTCTAGGGAAATGCTCAATAATCTAAACTCGAAAGCTGAGCAAGATGGGGAAATAACTGCATCAGGTATCTTTCTTGCTCTTTGGATTATGTGCTGTGTCCTTGAAGCCTAGCCTCCTCTGTAAGCACTAGCACTCATGTACATATACCCACACGGAGGCACGCAATTGTTATCAGCTAAGCTTGGCATTAGATAGAACTGAAATTTGTTAATTAAATCAGTATGATTTCTCTGCCATAAGTTTGCCTTAAAAGCGGAAGTTGCACATTACACAAAGGAAAAAGTTGTCTCTTTCTCAAGACAGATTTTCTCTGTATAATTCTGGCTGTCCTGGAACTCACTCTGTAGACCAGGCTGGCCTCATACAGATCTTCCTGCCTTTGCCACCCAAGTGCTGGGGTTAGAGGTGTGCATTACCACTGCCCAGCAGGAAAAAGATTTTAAAGTTCCTGTAGTGTCTTCATTCCTTCACAGCATCAAAAGTATAGTTTAAAAGGCAACATCCATAGGTGGAGAAGGAAAAAGGTGCTTCAGTGTTTAACATTATGTATTGGTGAGTGCACATGAGTGCATGCTTACACACAGGTTTGATGGAAAACACCTTTACCAGCAGAGCCATCTCCAGCTCCACATGATGCATTTTCACTTAGGCATCTTATACAACTGAAATACTGATGCTTGCCTTTTAATATAAGGAATCAGCTGGGCGGTGGTGCAGGCCTTTAATCCTAGCACTCGGGAGGCAGATGCAGTCAGATCTCTGTGAGTTCGAGGCCAGCCTAGTCTACAGAGTGAGTTCCAGGACAGCCAGGGCTATTACACAGAGAAATTCTGTCTCAAAAAACTGTAGGTGGGGTGGGAATGGAGGTGGAGAAAGATTCAACAAGGCTTGATAATGTTTGGTAGGCTCCTTCTAAAGTTGAACACAAGGGAGGCATTGCTGGGAAATAGAAAATAACTGAAATCCTTTCTTCCACAGATAATGCCATGAATCCAACCGATTAAACGAGGATCAGAAACACCTATCCTCATGCATAAATGCAGTTGTAATGAAAACAAAAACCAAACTTGTTTTTAAAGACAATGGCATCATCTCTACTCACCGACCTGAAAGCAAATCTATACCAAACTGTTGAAACAAATGGAAAATACTTAATTTGAGACCAGCTGTAAAATGGGGAAGCTCTATTGAATCTTGAATGTTCCAGCTTGAAAACTCACTTCCAAACAACCTAAAGCCATCTACATTCCACAGTGAACCAACCAGGAAAGTTTGTTGCTCATTGTCAAATACAACTTTCTGCATTGAAACCTTTGAGTTTCTGTGTGACAGTTTCTAAGTCATTGTCCCTTCCTCGCCTTATCAATTGCCTCATTTCTCCCCCTTCCTTCCTTCTTCCCTTCCTTCCTTCCTCCCCCTCCCTCCCTCCCTTCCTCTCTTTCTTTCCTTCTTCTCCCTCCCACCCCCATTTTGTTTTTTGAGACAGGCTTTCTGTGTAAGTGAACCTTGTCTGTCCTGGAACTTTCTCTGTAGATCAGATTGGTCTGCTTCTACATCCCAAGGATGGGATTAAAGGCATGTGCTACCATGCCTAGTTTATTTGGAATATATATATATATATATATATATATATATATATATATAATTTTTTTTTTGAGACAGGGTTTCTCTGTAACAGTCCTGGCTGTCCTGGAACTCACTGAGATCTGCCTGCCTCTGACTCCCAAGTGCTGGGATTAAAGGCATGCCTCACTACAGCCTTGCTGCAAGTTCTTTATAATAAAGTTTTAATTTTAAAAAAGGAAGATGTTTAAGAATTTAGATAAAAGTTTAAGAATACATTGTAATCATTCTTGCCTTACCAACTAGAATTTTCTTCAGATCATCTCATTACCTACAAAAGTGAAAATCATTGTACTTGCTGTCTTAAAATAGATATTCAGTCATCTAGACTTAAGAAATATGACTGGAGATAAGCATAAATAAGCTATGGAAATGAAGAAGCATGCTGAAGAAAAATCACTGTAGTCAACAAGCCCAGTTCCTAAATCAGAGATGGGATTTTCAATATTTATAGAATTCTGAATTTTTATGTATTTGTATTGCAGATACGTGGTTTCATTGAATACAAGCAGACAGCAGTTTATAGAAAAAGAGCTTTTATTGCTTTATTGACAATTAAACAGTCAACAGTTGGGTTGGGGTGGGGGATTAAACTTCAGATCCAAGTGATTGTTCAGTACATTTACTTTCAAAATTCTGACCTGAAGAACTGTTGCCTTAAACATCTTTATTATAAATGGGTAGTCTGCCCTGGCCTTCTTCTTCCTAAATCAGAAAACAGAGACTGAACCAAGTCAAAAATCTGTTTTTCTACTTCTTTCTCTCCCCTATTTTGCATTCTTTAAATTCTTTTTTCATTTTCTTTTTGAGAGAGGGTTTCTCTGTGTAGCCTTGGCTGTCCTGGAGAAATCTGCCTGCTTCTGCCTCCCAAGTGCTGGGATTAAATGCATTTGCTGCCACTGCCCAGCACTTCTTTTTTCTTATTTTAAATTTTTATTCATTTTACATACCAACCACACTTCCCCCTTCCTCCCCTCCCCCTTCCATTCTCCACTTTCCCTCCCCTTAGCCCCCCCCAAGTACCCTCTGCTTCTTTCAGCAGCTGCCCATGATGCAAAAGAAGGAAAGTAATAGAACTGATGTTATGGGCTGGAAAGATGGCTCAGCCACTAAAGCCTAGGCTCACAACAAAAAATATAAAGTTGATGTTACAAAGAATTTACTACTGAACTGTCTTAGGAGACATAAAGTCACACAAAGCAGAATTATGCCAAGGAGTCCTGCTTCCAAATGCAAAGGTAAGTGGTATACTAACCAGGCTTGTTAGAGATAAGTGGAACTTAAGTGTTCCTAGAATGGTTATGCTCTGTTCCCATAACAAATGAGATAATTTAGGCTCTCAATCAGCCTTTAGTATCCATCCCAAGAGGCATTGTCTAGTTTAGTAAGCCACTGAAGGATAACAGATACAAACTGGGCTCAAGGGCAGCTTGGGCAGCAACTCCTCACTAGAAGAGACACTTTGCTTTGGCGGTGTCTATTTAGTGCCAACTATGCAGGTACACAGTGTGCATGAGCTGTGGAGTCATGGCTAGCTCCACCTAGATTTCAAAGTATTCTTTGATGAGCCTTAAGATCCAAGCAGAGAACTGGAGTAAGGTTGTAAAGTCCCCACCAGCATAGTGTTTAGTAAAGCTATGACCTTGTAACCAGAGCCAGTACCCTACAGAACAGAATCTCCCACTAATGACCCCAGAGCTATAGAGCCACCAGCATTCCTCAATAGCCCAGTAGAGGTGCAGACAACTGGTTCCAACTGACAGGAAGTGCAGTATGAGCTGTGCCTGGTGAGCCATGTCTAGAGCCCTGTGGACTAAAATCCCATCCCATGTGTCTGGAAGGCAGAACTCAGCCAAACTTAGGTCTTGAGGCTTAATAAAAAGTAGTTCCCTTGTTGGGGTGGGGCCAGAGAGATGATATGGTGGCGAGGAGTGCTTGCTGCTCTTCAGAGGACACATGCTCAATTCCTGGTACCCACATTAGGTATCTCAAAACTACTTCTATGTAACTCTAGCTCCAAGGATCCAACACCCTGTTTTTAGTGTCCTCCAGCAACCTGCCCCGCCCCCTGCATACATAAATGAAAGTAAAAAATCTTTTTTTTATGTTTGTTTTTTCAAGAAAGGGTTTCTCTGTGTAGCTCTGGCTGTCCTGGAACTCACTCTATAGACCAGGCTGGTCTCAAACTCATAGAGGTCTGCCTGCCTCTGCCTCCTTGGTATTGGGATTAAAGGCTTATGGCACCACTATCAAGCTGAAAGTGAAAATCTTAAAAAGATATTTAAAAAGAGAAAGAGAAACACCAACCAGACCTTGGGATCCATTCCTGGAGAATTATGTTGAATGTGGTGGCACATACTTTTAATTCCATCACTCAGAAGGCAGAGGCAAGTGATTCTCTGTGAATTAGAGACCAGCCTGGTCTGCATAGTGAATTACAGGCCAGTCAGGACTACATAGTGAGACCCTGCCTCAAAAATATAAAAGCCTTCTGTTGGGAGGGGCCCATGGCACCTCACCCCTCTCTGAGGAACTATAAACAGTTAATAGTTGGTGATAGAGGGAGAGAAATTCTCTGGAGCCTGTAACTACTGATAGAGAATTCATTCTCCTACAAACAATGCCCTCACAGGACCCTGCAAACAATCCTAATGAAACTCATTGGAGCACAGAATGCAAACACACACACACACACACACACACACACACACACACACACACACACGAAAGAAAGAAAGAAAGAAAGAAAGAAAGAAAGAAAGAAAGAAGGAACGAAAGAAAGAAAGAAAGAAAGAAAGAAGGAACGAAAGAAAGAAAGGAATTAAGTAAATATTGCCCTGGCATGTCTGTGGCATATTTGGGATAAATTATCTCCCTCTATCCCATTTCTGATGTTTGCAATAGGTATATCTACCTAATACCTGTCTTACATTTGTATTTTTCCCTTATTTATTTGTTTTTACAAGAAGGTTTCTCTGTGTAGCCCTGGCTGTCCTAGAACTCACTCTGTAGATCAGGCTGACCTTGAACTCACAGGCCTGCCTCTGTTTCCAAGTGCTGGGATGAAAGGCATGAACAGCATGCAAGGTGACATTTAATATTTTTGTTGCCTCAATTGTAGCCATTTTGACTGAAGTAAGAGAATTTCATTATACAGTTCTTTTGCATTTTCCTGATAGCTAAGAATGTTGGGTTTTTTTTCAGTTATTTATTGGTCGTCTGTACTTTACTGAAAGATGTCCATTTCCACTATTCATTTATTGATTGAATTATCTTGTTTTTTGTTGCCTAATTTCTTTAGTTATTTATACACTTGTAATATTAATTACTAATATTAATATAATAGTATCGCGGTAAATAAGGATCAGGATAAACAAATAGGCCGAATAGATGTTTATTCAGGGAGAAATAACTTACAACCTAGACAGATGAACACCAGGAAATTTAACCCAATCCTCTCCTGTCCGAGTCACGCCAGAAAGAGAGCACCTTCCTCACCCCCTCCGACCTCCTTCCACAGGTCACTTCTGCCCATGGCTCCACCCCCCAATGGGCGTGGTCAGTGCCACAGAAGGACTATCTCACTACATAATAGCCTATGGTCAGTGACTATGAAATTCTGTCTGACTCTAAACAAAATTTCTTTCTTTGCAAGGACCAGTCACAAGCTCCTACACCGTGACTTTGAACAACTGCAATAAGACTATAGTCCGATAAAACCAATACAACAATCAATCAGGCCTGCACTGCTGCTTGCTGTGTGCTTGCTTGTTGGTGCTGCAGTATACTGCCACAACCAACCCCAGGCAATGCTAGCAATAAAAGGCCACACATCTCTCCCAAAGCCTGGGATTCATTCCGGTGACATCATCCACAGAGAATCTTGGAGACAGTGGCTATATCTGGATCTGCCTGGTTCCACACCCAACAGGCCTAGCACTGAGTATCAATCAGACAAAGCAGTGTACCTGCCACCATTAACCATGCATCTGTCTTAGTGAAGCACAGTTCTCCACATGGTGTTAGGGTAGGCTTGGAGGCTGGGAATAGTGGCCTGGAGAGAGTTGTGTTGCCTGAGTTGGGGTACCAGTGAAGAAGGCAGTTCTTTGGCTGCCACAGCTGATGCCAGCATGAATTACATCAGTCTCACAGCACAGAAAAGTGCAGGAAAGGCAATTGAGGCCCATTCTGAAGCTTGTGATAACACCAGCCAGAACTCTAGTCAGTCTGATACTGATGCAGGTCTGGAGAGATCAAGCTCTGGTCTGGCGCTCACTTAGATGCTGCTTGTCACGGAATGAACTCAAAGGTAGGACTTGGCTGGAACTTAATTTTCTTTCCTTAAGCTGGAAGCCGTTACTCCTCTCTCTCTCCAAGCTGCTTGAAGTTAGGAAGGGGCAACTAACTCTTCCTGCACTTTCTGTAATGATGTTTTTCTTCTTGTTATTTTTATTATTATACT